CTATCGACATGATACCCTGCTGAGGTCCTTCCCCTAGTGCCACCCCCCCAGGCTCCACCCCCCACCCAGATCTTCAGGAATCTCCCAACCTGGAGTTGGCAACCTGAACGGGAGAAGGAGGAATTCCTGCCTTCTTCCCTGTGCTGTGTTCCACTGGGAGCCAACACATAGGCCGAACGCTTGCATGTGCTGCTTCCCTACAGAGAAAATAAGACTCCTCCCCCCCCTTTCAGTCCTGACTGTTTCAGCTGCCCACAAGCACAGGGGAGAAGGCAGGAATTCCTCCTCCTCCTGCGCAGCAGCCCCCATCTGAATTCAGCCATGCTGTGCATTTACTCATGATGAGTAGGGTTGCCAGCCTCCAGGTGGGGCCTGGGGAATCTCCCGCTTTTGCAACTGGTCTCCAGCTGACAGAGGTCAGCTCCCCTGGGAAAAAATGGCTGCTTTGCAGGGTGGACTGTAGGGAATTTTACCATGCTGAGGCCCCTCCCCTCCCCAAACCCCGCCCTCTCCTGGCTCCACCCCCAAAGTCTCCAGGTATTTCCCAACTGAGACCTGGCAACCCTACTCATGAGTTGCCACAGGGAACCAGCAGCTACAGTATCAATGCCAGTCCAGGAGGAGAATTATCACAATCCTGTAATGTCTAGTTAGGCTCTCAAACTGAGGTATCTATCTGTCTCTCTGTAACACCACAAACCAGCAGCTACAGTATCAATGCCAGTCCCTGAGGAGAATTATCGCGATCCTGTAATGTCTAGTTAGGCTGAGGTGACTCTCTGTCTCTCTGTAACGCCACACACACCCCACCTCCAAGGAGCTCCAAGGACAGTTGATTTGTTAGGGACACTCCGATTCCTCTGAGAAATTCAGCCCTGATCCATGGAAGCCTATGGTGGAATAGAGTCTGTCCATCTTTGCAGAACCACTGGACTCCACCATCTTTATTTCGTTGCTACAGGTGGACCCAGCTAGCTACCTGTCTGGGATTGCTGATGTATATAATTTTCTCTTCCTGGGGCCTCCGGGAAAGGGAGCTTCTAGGATCCCCAACTCTCAGCTGTTAGCAGCCACATTGCTGGCCTGTCCTTTTGCATATGGGTCCCTTTCCACCACCCCCTCCCCTTTGGCCCGGGAATGCTGCCAGTCACACCTGAAGGAGATTAAGGGAGCTAATCCCCCACCACCACTCCAGCTAATAAATTCTCCCACAATGCCGTGCAAGAGCGTTCCCTCCAGCGGTGCCGGCCTCCCTTTATGGTTCATTTGTACCGTTTTGCGGTCCAAAGGCTGGATTAGTTTTACGAATCAGATGCTCAAGGAGGGAGGGGGTAATCCCACCGCCCCCCCCAGCCCATCCTGAAAGGCTCAAGGCCTACCAAACCTTGGGGAGGAGGGGAGGCAGAAGGAGGTCTTTCCAGAGCCTGGTCTTGGGTTCAAGTTCAAACTCTCGTTCTGGGTGGTCCTGAGGAAGCAGAGGTGTCTCAGTCTTGCAGGTGACTCCTATGTACTTCCTGCACGGCGTTTGGGCAACTGACCGAGCACAAGAACTTATCCAGGAAGATGTTTCTAGGGAGGCCCTGCCGGCACAGGCCAGTCCTGACCTTCTGGAACTGGTTCCAGGTAAGCCAGTGGTCTGGGATCCGGCAGGTTCATTTCTCTTGCCATGGTGCTTTACTCCTCTGTGAGAAGCCTTCCTCAGGGCTAGAGGCACACCAGGGTGGGCTCCTGAGCCAGGGTTGCCAACTCTGCTTGGGAAATTCCTGGAGATTTGGGGGTAGTGTCCGGAGAGGGCAGGGTTTGGGGAAGAGAGGGAGCTCGGCCGGCTTGCCAACCTCCAGGTGGGGCCTGGAGAACTCCTGGAATTACACCTGATCTCCAGGCTACAGAGATTAATTCCCCCGGGGAATTTAGTTACGAGCTTCCATGGTACGAGCTTTCGTGTGCACGCACACTTTATCAAATACGTTAGAATGGCAGGCAAGATTCATACTTACAGCCGCAGAACGAACAGCAAATTAACATGCAACAGGATGTTGTTTTGTTTCAAGGGGCCAATGATGATCAAGGTATGCAAAGTGACACTAAATAACAAGTTAAGGTTATAGGGTCAACAGTTGCAAAGCAATAAATATGTCAAACTAGCAGAAAAATGTCTAAAGCTGTCTTTTCTAACTGTGTGAAGTGACTGGGAATCTTCATTCTCTCCTGTCAGGCATGGAGGGCACTTAACACTACCTCCCCCTCCAAAAATTGCTGTTATGTCAGCAGACGTCCTAATATCCCTTGCACACATTCAGTGTTCTAATATACTGTTCTGAAAAAGAAATACACTAAAATACATTAAAATACAGAGGATTTATAGTTCTTGTTGAGAATACGTGTGAGGACTGAATTGAGTTAGCATATGTAATGAAATAAAAAAACCAATATCCCTGTTGAGTCCTGGGGAGCTTTTTGTTCCAAGGGTTGTAATAACTTGTAACTCAGCAACCTCCATTTCCATTCTGTTTCTGAAGTTCCTTTGTAATAAAACAGCTGCTTTGAAGTCACCCACGGAATGTTCTGGAAGGTCGGAGTGTTCTCCCACAGGTTTCTCAATCTTCTGATTCCTGATGTCAGATTTGTGTCCATTTATCCTCTGGCATAGGGTTTGTCCTGTTTGTCCTTTTTATTTTTTATTTTTGTATTTATACCCCGCCCTCCCCGTGAACGGGCTCCTACGTAGAGAACTGAAGGGCACTGTTGACATTTAATGCCATATACAATGTTAGGAGATGAGCAAGTGAATGAGCCTCTGATGGTGCAGTTGACATTGTTAGGTCCAGTGATTGTGTTGTCTGGGGGTACGTGGCAGCAAAGTTGGCATCTGGGTTTATTGCAAGCTCTGGTCCCAGCGTCCATGTTCAAGTGAGATGTTGCATTATTGTGGGTGAGGAGTTGTTTGAGACAGGGGGGCTGTCTGTATGCAAGAAAAGGTTTGCCCCCCAGTACTTATGAAAGCGAACTGTCATTATCCAGTAGAGGTTGTAAGTCACTGACGATGCGTTGAACCGTTTTGAGCTGGGAGCTGTATGTGACTACCAGTGGTGTTCTGTTATTGTCTCTTTTGGGCCTGTCTTCTAATAGGTTTTCTCTGGGTATCATTCTGGCTTTGTTAATCTGTTTTCTGACTTCATCAGGTGGATACTTTAGTTCCAGAAAGGTGTGTTGTAGATCCCTCAGGCGTGAATCTCTGTCTGTAGGACTGGAGCAGATGCGGCTGTAGCGTAGAGCCTGGCTGTATACAATGGATCGTTTGGTATGTTTAGGAGGGTAGCTGGAGGCATGTAGGTATGTTTGTCGGTCAGTAGGTTTCCATTATAAGGTAGGGTCTGTGCGTCCATTGTGTACTTTTACAGTAGTGTCCAGAAAATGTATTTCTTGTATGGATTGGTTCATTGTCAGGTTGATGGCATTGAATGACAACGCCAAGAAAAGCAAAGAGAAGCTTCTAGTTGAAGTGTACAAGGCAGACTTATTTAAGGTTACAGAATCCAAAGACTGAAATCAAAACTCACTTTGACAACTGGAAGGAAAAGCACTTGCACAGGCAATATTTGAAAGGCATGGAAAATAAAGGTTATGCTGAAAACACCTGGAAGTGGCTCCAAAATGCACACTCGAAGAAAGAAACGGAAGGACTCACTGTACTTGCACAAGACCACACACTGGAGACGAATAGTATGAAAGCCAAGATTCAGAAGACCGGTGTTGAACAGCAAATGTTGACTTGCAAGACCACTGATAAAACAGTTGAACACATGGTCAGTGCCTGCAGTAAAATTGCTCAAACTGACTATAAAGGACATCACAATAGAGTTGCCGCTATGTTGCCCTGGAATCTTTGCAAGAATTAGGGCTTACCATGAGCCAGAAATTCATGGGGAGCACAAACCAGACAAGATCATGGAGAATGATGAAAGAAAGATTCTTTGGGACTTCTGATTACATACAGATAAACACCCGGAGCATAACGCTCCTGATGTCACCATTGTAGAAAGAAAAAATGAGAAATAGGGTTTGGATCATTGACAATGCAATCCCAGAAGACAGCAGACTAGAAAAGAAAGAGCAGGAGAAGACCACAAAAGACCAAGACCTATGAATAGAGTTCAAGCACCTCTGGGAGAAGAAGGTGACCACTGTGCCAGTTGTCATTGGACCCCTTGGAGCAGTGCCCAGAAGTCTCAAGAAACACATGCGCATTCTGGGCACTGAGCAAACAACACCAGCTCAGCTCCAGAAGACAATGTTGCTCAGAACAGCACGAATCCTGCAAAGATACACCTACAGTTCCCAAGAACTTGGCTAGATCTCGAATTCCAGAACACCACCTACCAGCCAAATATCTGACTGTAACAATTCATCCTCCTCCTCCTGCTCACAGACCATAGGGGTTTAAAAAATCTTTTCTGCTTGATTGTCAGCCAAGGCAGGGCGTCTCGCCTTAACCAATGGCAGAGCCAGGTCTACCGCAGCCTTTTAAAAAAAAATGCCCATTTTTCTCTCTCTTTAATAATTCCCTCCTCCCTTAAAAAAAAAAAAAAGAAGCCTCTTTTCAGAATCGGACAAATGTTTTGCAAAACGGGGATGGGGAAAGAAAAGGCCGTTGGGGGGGAACCAACAGCAGCAGCTCACAAAAGTAAGGCCGTGACCCGGGAACGCCCACTCCACAAGGCCTGAAACTACTTTTTGCAAACAAAGGCAGGAGGCAAAACTTGTTTGGGTTAGCAGGGGGGGAAACTGCCCATTCAACTTGGAGTTGGACCTGCCCACTCCATCTCCTCCCCCCCCCATTCTGGCCCCAGCACCTTTCTTGCCACCCCCTGACAGCTCTGGTGTCTGGGTTAATACCAAAGGGCTTTGGAGGAGGGGGTCAGCTGGTGGGAGGGGGAGAAGCTCAGCATGTCGTTTTGTTTCAAGGGGCCAATTTTCCAGTTCAGTGGGTGTTCAACGGCTAATGGGCAAAGCACAGCTTTGGGAATTATTCACTTAGCAGGGTGGGAAAGGGAAGTATGGGGGGGGCAGCAGCTGGGAATAGCTTTGAGTGCAGCTGTTCTACCTTCAACACCCCTGCCTCTGGTGTAACGTGAGTCTTTCAAAAAAAATGTTCTTTGGTGGGAGGAAAACATGGAAGAAAGACACAGGATGGTGAGAACAGGGGGCGAGAGAGAGACAAGAATTCGCCTCCTGCAAAGGCGTTCTCCAAGCAGACACTTTTAAGAGCAAATTCCAGTTTTAAAAGAAAAATATGACAGTATGGGCGTATTTGCTCACAATGGGTGTGAGTTTAAGGGTTACACAGAACACTTTTTGTTTTGGCAAGGGAACTCTCAGGCTACACAGAACGCTTCTTTGGCTGCAAAGAACAAAGTAAATTTAAAACGAAGTTTGAGCCCAGTGACACCTTCAAGACCAACAAAGTTTAATTCTGGGTATAAGCTTTAGGATACTTCAGTGTTCTGGTAACGTTGCTTTAGATATAGCACGACAAGGTATTGTGTATCTTTGTTTCCCCCACCTCGTAAAAACAAGTTCAGGGGCTGAGACCACATAAAATTTCTCCCCCTATGGGGTCCTTCTGTTTGCACCACATTCTTTCAGCAAATGCATAGAAACACAACAGTACAAATGTATTATTTACCTTATTTGTATCCCGATTCCCGCCTTTCTCCCCCATAAGAACATAGGAGAAGCCAATGCTGGATTAGGCCAGTGGCCCATCCAGTCCAACACTCCGTCAGGCAGTGGCTAAAAATACCAGGTGCCATCAGGAGGTCCACCAGTGGGGCCAGGACACTAGAAGCCCTCCCCTGCCGCCCCCCCCCCCCGCACCAAGAATACAGAGCATCACTTGCCCCAGCCTGAGAGTTCCTATCTATGCCTTGTGGCTAATAGCCACTGATGGACCTCTGCTCCATATGTTTATCCAGTTCCCTCTTGAAGCCGTCCATGCTTGTAGCTGCCACCACCTCCTGTGGCAGTGAATTCCATGTGTTGATCACTCTTTGGGTGAAGAAGGACTTCCTTTTATCTGTTCTAACTTGACCGTTCAGCTATTTCATGGAGTGCCCACGAGTTCTTGTATTGTGAGAAAGGGAGAAAAGTACCTCTTTCTCTACCTGTTCTTTCCCATGCATAATCTTGTAAACCTTGATCATGTCACCCCTCAGTTGTCATTTCTCCAAGCTAAAGAGCCCCAACCGCTTTAACCATTCTTCATAAGGAAAGTGTTCCAACCCTTTATCATTCCAGGTGCCCTTTTCTGCACTTTTCCCCATGCTATAATATCCTTTTTTTTGAGGTGTGGTGACCAGAACTGTACACAGTATTCTCCAATCGTTACCCAAAGCAGCTTAAACAACCCTGTGAGCTAGGTTAGGCTGAGAAGTACCCCACAGGGGAGTGATTCCTTTCAGCTGTTGGGGGGGGGTAGAGAATCACATTATAAAAACACACTGAGCTCAAGTTTGGTGGTGTCAAACCGGCATGAGATTTTTGACTCAACTCCTCCTCTTCTGGGGGTGGCCTTTGAAACTCTTTCGCTGTGGTGTTTGTTGTCCATGGTTCAGGGTGTCTGG